ATTTGTTATATGCTCCATTTGATTAATCAATTTGTGAGTACTCTGTTTAGTAGGGATATTAATCAATCATGGTGGAAGTCGAACCTACATTTGCCAGTTTTACATTTAGATGACGTGATTATGTCAATTAATTATTTTTAGAATGCAATAATGTTCAATATTTTTAATCTTTTCTATTTAAAATATGTTGATGTTTATTATTTTGGTTGTATTTAAATATTTGTATTTGTAAAGTTAACACTTGAATATTTAGGAGTAATCACAGTATTAAACTACAATATTTGCTATTTTTTTTATTATCCTTTGCTTTGATGAAGCATTCGCTTCGCTTCGCTTCTGCTTCTCGCGTAGGTCTTCAGGAGACCGGTTCGCTTCGATTCGCTTTACGCCTTAAATAACACTGGGTATAGCTAAGATCCCTGCCTCATTATACCAAAACTTTGTTGACAAGTTTAGAGAAAAGAAGAATAGTGTTCTCTGCATCATCTCTGAAATTGCTTCCAGCTCCAGTTTGGCTGGGTCTTTAAGAGAACAACCATCAAAATTAAGTTGATTTTTGCATGGTTGTAGGCTTTCATCATACCAGGAAACTTCCCTGTTTAGGGGATTGAAGGTATAGCCATCCAGTGGGTCATGATAACATTCATGTGTATCACCTTGAAATCTTTGGTGATGGATACCTCAATGATGATACTTTCCTAGAGCTCTTCATCGCACGAAGTATGACCTTGAAAAATTCTAGAATTCCTTCAATCAAAGTGATTAAAATTATATTCAAATGGCTCAACCTTAGAGTCGTGGTTTTCTTACTACTACTTCTGTGGCTAAATGTTCCAAAATGTCTCTAAAGCTGGAATACTCAACTTGGTTAGTGTTCAATGCTGAAAAACTCATCAGTAATCTCTTTGATAAGTAAAATTATATCACTAAAGCTGCCAAAATGAGAGCGTTGCATTTTGGTTGGCGCTGTAATGTGTTATGCAATCGATCAAACCTGCTAATGCTTTTATTTAGTTTGGTGTGGTTTACTATTAGAGTTTTTTTTGGGGGGCTGGTGGGGGGTAAGAACTGAGCAAAAACCTATCCACAAGTTTTTAGGGAGATCATTGGTCCTTCAAATCTTATTAGCAAGGAAAAATGGAATGAAATAATCTTTGCAAAAGAGAATTGAGAAAAGATTTAGTGAAACACCACGTCTCTCATCTGTGGTGGATAGAGAAAGATAACCCTCATTATATAAAACGAGGAAGATGCAGGTTCTGTAACCTCCCAATTACTAAGATTCCTGAAAAGCAAAAGTGCCAACATTACTTGCAAAAAAAAAGTGCCAAGGGAGAGTGGAGAACCTCAAAATTGAACAATTGGTGTGTCATGAAGATGAGAGATGTAAGAACATGGCGAATGCATCTTTGAAAGGATGGTCATTTCAATGCGTATTTATCCATCCCCAGCAATGTATCTTGTATGCAGGAAAACCACATTACGTATGTCTGTCCTATCACTTTTGTCCTATTCTTAGCGGTCATGTAGAATATTTTGAATCATCCATGATCTTCTAATTCTCCAATATCTTGGTTCTTTCAAATTGACCAAGCCATTAACCTGAATAGCTATGTCATTTCATAGTAACAAGTGTTCCACTTCTTATGAGTTTTGGGTCTTTCTGCATGGCAATTTAAATGTCTTAGTACAATAGCATCCATGTCATGGATGGTCTTTACTGGACATGTTTGACAAGGTTCTTTGGGTGTTTTTTTTAAATTTTTTTTTGAAAGATACATATTATTCTTTTTAATGGTTGGAATACTATATCGGTGCAGGCTTGTAAAACTAATGTTGGCTTGAGGAACATATTATGCTCAGTCCAAAAAGCAGAGAAAGGTTGGTGGCAAAGACTACAAAAGTCGGAAGAAAAACCTGCTCCTTACCTTAAGGTTGATTGGAACAAATGGTGTGATGAAGATGAGGAGGAGTCAACTGATTGTAAGTTTATGTAGCATGTTATAGATGTGAAGATGATGTGCTTTTCCTTTGTGTAACGTTTGGGAACTGGGCCAAGTTTCGAGGACTGGCATGTAGATTGATCCTTTCTTAGGTTGTGTCCTTTAGGCATCATATTATGATTTTGTATCAAGTGCTTTATACATTGTCTTATGCATTACTCTTTTTCTTTAGGATTTGCAAAACAATGGTGTGACAGACTTACCTGTTGGTTGGGATGTTCTACTGGTAGCTCTTAGTTAAATTGACTATGCAGTTGTCTCACCACATGTTTTATCGGGTTTGGTTGGATTTGCGTCTGGCCTTACCTAATGTGAATCTGTGATTGGTCTGGAGCAGCATTTGGGTATTCAAGAAACCAACTGTTTGATTTGTTCTTATTGTGGAGTTGCCTTTGTTAGTTTTGCTTATGAAAGAAAAGATTGAAAAAAGTTGGATTCTCTCATCTTCCCTTTGTATCCTAAGAAGAACAAGAAGAAAGAAAGAAAGAACGTAATGAAAGAGAAGTAGAAAAATGTTTTCCTTATTCTGCTATTTCAGTTCCTTGTTAAAAAGTCATTCTGCTAATTTCATTGTCAAGGTATTCTCCTGTTCACTTCCATTACCTTTTATTTATTGGCAAGTTTGTCTCTTAATCAGATGCAAAAAAAAAAAGGTACCTATAACAAATTCAGGTTAAGCAATAATTGTTAGCACGTATTACTCACAGCCACTTTTAAAAAAATTGAAGGTGGGGGAAAGAGAAAAGAAGTCCTCTGATGTCTTGTTACATGAAAATGCAAATATTGGAGGGAATGAATGTTTTGTCCTTTATGGCCTTAATGCTGATCCCCATTGACCAACACAAGTTATTTGTCTTTGTCGTCTTTATTGTTGTCTTTGTCCTCTTTTGTAACTGTATGCATCACATCTCTTCATACATAACAATACTTTTGTGGCTCCTAAGCTGAATTTTGCAGTTCAACTGATACTGTTCACTTGCCTTTGATGACAATATGATTTTGAATTGCTAGTTCATGTTGTGAGTTGAAACCCAAACTTTAGGCGTAGTTTGGATGGTAGGAATAAGATGCATGTAATCAGTTGGAGTGAGGGAAGAAAATTGAATTCTCTCACCAGGGATAAGATTGCCTTCAACGCAGTTCCAAGTGTCATTTCATACCTGCATTTGGTAAGAGAAACATTACTAATGCTCTTCTTAGTGAGAATTTAGCGTTTATCTTTGTTATAGACATTCAATCTAACACCAATTGATAATGTGTGGAGAGGCTCCTCAACCATACAATATTGAGTTCTCCTAGGTACTTCTAGAAGGTTTTCGGTTTTGAGCTCTCATATGAGTGGAAACCAATGCTATGCCACACCAACTAACAAAACAAAACCTGAACAGCTTTTGTTGTTAATATAGCACGAGCACAATAGGAAAGAGATGGGGGGGGGGGGGGCTAGTGAAAACTTGTTGCTGAAATTTGTGTGATTGCCAACAACTTCCACATGGGATTTTTTAAAAATAATACTTTTTGAATTCCAATTGGCGGTTAGTTGCATATGTGACATGATTGAAGGGAGAAATGCATTTACGACACCTATTTTCACTGAACTTTCAAAGTGCTTCTTGGGTCGGACAAACTAATCCCGATAGCATTGGGTTATGCGCAAGTGTCACCCATATCACAAAAGAATCCCCATCACAAAACATAGTTCTTATTTGTACACGTGACACTTTGCTAAGACCTTCCCATCCCAAGTTTCATATAAGAGAGCTATAAACATCTTCAGGAATACAATTTTGCTTGCCTCCCTCCCGTCTATACCTATTATTGAGATTTTTTGGTAATGTTGTTATTCTTGTCCATTCTCCTTTGTTTATTGTAAATGTTCATTATTGAAAGCACATAGTGGCTAAATATTTTTTTGCTATTTGCTATGAGCCACTTGTATCTTCAAAGCATGATCCTATGTTTGTTCTGCTTCAACATAAAAGTTGAATTTGAACCCCAGATGCTACCTGCCCTCCTGATGCCTTCACAACCATTCGAGGGCAACTCATCCATTCGAGGGCAACTCATCCTAACACATAGTTGTACTGACAACTTGTGCATATGGACTTTTTCTATAACTACTTTGCTGCATTCTGATTTTCTTGCTGTTGCTTATATGAATCTTGAAATATTCAAATAAGGACAATGATGCTATCATGTTTCCAGAGGTTCTTCTTCACTAGCAGAAATTTTGGGTTTACTTTTTGCATGACATGATAACCACTCTTTTTATATACATTACTAGCATTTTTTTTATGCGATCTAGGCTATTCTGTTTTGTCCTTCAATAGTTTGAGATTGTTATGTTTATGTGGCAGGACTTTAAAACTTTTTTGGATTACCATTTATTTTATTCTGACACCCGATTCTGTGGTTCTTGCAGCTGATCCAGCCTATGATGAGGATGATGTAGTGGTAACATGACCTCTCCTGCTAAATATTTGAGTAGAGTGAACGGTGATTTTTATGGAGCCATCTGACTTCAATTTTGTTCTATTGCAGTACACTGGTGAACATGATGGAAGCAGTGACGACGAAGGAATGCTTTGTGAGTTCAAAAATTCTACTCACTGTTGAAATGTCATATTAAGTTGCTCTTTGGAACCTTCTTTGATGGTTGCATCCTTTGATGCATTCACATAGAATATCCTTAGACTTCAAACTGTCTTAGCTGTAACCTTGGTGTTTTTTTAGTTCATTTTAAATATACGCAATGTCTACTTTCTGATGGATGGAATCTCTTAGGATATCACTACGGTAGAACCGAAAAAAAATAATTTGGTACCATACTGAAATTGATTTGTAGCCGTTGATTTTGATTTGATTGGTTTGCGGCTTTTGATCATAAAAATGATAAAATGATATGAATTATTAATCTGAGTAAACAAAGTGTGTCACATTTTTATTGGACAAAAAGTGAAGATATGTTACCGAAAAATTGATATAAATCACTTTTTGGTACTATAGTTGGACCCTTCTGTAATATTCAAGAATTGAACAAGATGGAATGCTTACTAATGAACTATATGGGGTTAATTGAGATGTGTTAATCATGCGTTTGTTTACCATCTTTCTAACTGAATGTATGCTTCTTGATGGCAAATTACTTTGTTATTCAGAAATGTGAGTTACTGTATTGTTTAAACATTTTCTTGATGAAGTTCTGCTTTTGTTATTACCCGACAATGCAATAATTTTCGTGCAGAGATTTGCGTTTTAACATTGATTATTTCTCGTATACGTTGCAGATCTTCCAGACTTGGAGAAGGCAAGAGGAGCTATCAAAGACTGATTCTATACTATCAAGGAAGTTTAGTTAGTTTACTCCCAAGATTTAGTATAATGCATGATTATGACCCTTGCTGAGTTCTGTATATATCAGAATATCTCACTCGTTCTCTAGGGTAGGTAGAGCTTCGACTTCTGGATATTACACTTTATCCTTTAGATTGTAAAATGGTTTGTTATATGTTTGGTTGCACTCCTTTGGTGGCCTTTAAGATGAAAGTATATTACCAGACATTGGTCAAGCTCGTTCTCTCTATGATGGTCAGTATGATTTTAGAGTTAACTATTTATTTGCCCTTAGAATTATATCATTTGTGTCAATCAAGCTCTTAAATTATGTTTGATGTCAATTTAGTTCTTGAACTATGGAATCTGGTTCAATGTGACCTTTCTGTAAAAATTTGTCATTAATTTTGACGAAAACTTTTACGTGCACATTACGTGAGTCAAAGACTATGTTTGATTAAAGAGTATTTTTACTCTTTAATCAAACATTTGCAGGTACCTTGCTAAGTACTTTCCTATCCTTCATGACCACAATATGCCTTTTAGTCTGTATACTGTTAATAAAAGTACCTTAAGTAAAAAAAATTTTGATTTTCTATTTTACGCTTATAAAGAATTTTAATTATCACATTTTCTTTTCATAGTCAACTATTTAAATTACAATCACGTTCGTATGTATTTAAATCTCCAATTTATCCTAACATTTATTTTATTTTTTTATTATCTTTGTATAAAAGTCAATATCTATAAAAAAAAAATTAATTAACCATGTTATTCTTAAAAAAATATATGCATCATTATAGTTTTCAATAAATTGTTCAAAAACTTTAACAATAAATCATACTTTTTTTAAATATATAGATAACATTATGATTATATATATGACATTTTTTTTCCTTTTATACTACTAATAAAAAATAAAACTTTTATCTTAACATAAAAAAATTTTGATACACTATTTTACTCTTATAAAAAATTTTAAATACCACATTATCTTTTAATATTTGAATGTTTAAATTGCCATCATATACTTATATGTTTAAATCTCTAAATTACCCCTAACATCTCTTTTAATTCTTTATTTACTATGTATAAATATCAATATCTATGAAACTTTTTAATTGACTATGTTACTTTTAAAACATATATGCATTACTATAATTTTTAATAAAACGTTCAATTTTTTTTAAATTTTTTTTATCAATTTAATATTACTTATTTTAAATATAAAGATAATATTATCTTTACAAATGTGTATTTCTTTCACCAAAAATTTCAACCATTTAATTTTTAAGATAAAAAATAATCATTTACGTAGTTTTTTAAAAATAATTTATATTAAATTAACATAATTCTTCAATCACAATAAATTTTTCATATTTTATTAAGAGTTTGTATAAACAAAAGTATATTATATTTTTAAATAAAACTTGAATTTTAGAATTTTAATATTCTTTAAAATATATACTATAGAGTAGTATATTATATTTTAAAATGAATAGCACTTTTAGTCTCTAAAATATGCATGTTTTGTTAGTTCGGTCTTTATTGTATTAATTTTGTCAATTTGACCTTTAAAGTATTTAGTTAATGTTTAAATGATTTATATACAGACAATATGTTAAGTTTTTTTATAGAAGTGATAACGTGATACTATTTGAAGGAATAACAAATGGTTATTTTCGTCAAAAAACTTAATAGACCATCTGGTTAGAGATTATTTAAACAAGAATTAAATATTTTAGAAATTAAATTGACAAAAAGTATAAACTTTAGAGAATCAAAGTGTTATTAATCATATATTTTTATCCCTATTAAAACTTAACTAATTATAGTAAACATTGATTAGAATATTAAAAATTATTTTTATTTTATTGAATGAATTATAAGTTGAAACATAATCAAATGAATTTCAAATAAATTATTTTTATCTTTATACTTAAAATAATGAATCGTTGGGAACAAATAATATTTTCAAATTTTATAATATAATACGAGCAATAAAAATATAATTTTGATAAACTTAAAATAATATTTAATGTAGATACACATATACCTAATACTTTTTATTAATATTTTGTATATAAAAATTATTCACGTGCAATGCATGTGGTGTATTACCAGTAGTATGATACGACCCTATTATACCTTTTGAGAAATGTTATTTGGACAAAAAATATTGACACACATTGTCGATTTTCTCTACTACAATCATTGAATAGGTGATGAGTCATAATAAATGTTGAGATCTAAAGTTAAATCAATGACAATGATATTAGAAGTCGGTAAATGTTGTCAATTTTTTTTGTCAAGAGTAGCACTGCTCATGCCCTTTAATACTATGATATTGCTTAAGGGTGTTCTAAAGCCCAGTATTCTAATGTGTATCTAATGTGTATACCTTGTTGCATGGAATAAAGTTTCTTTGCTATGGTATAGTATTTCCAAAAGAGAGTTCTCCATCTTATTAAAAGAAAAATAAAATTAAAGAGTAAAAATATAAATGAAAAAAATATCTAATTTCAAATGGTTCACGTGCGTGAATATCTTCTAGTTATTAAAAGAGTAATGTTACATGTACTTAAAAATTAGACTTGATAATTATAACCATTGAATAGGTAGTGAGATTCTATAAATGCTAGGACTTACATTGAAATCAATGGTTGTAATTATCAAGTCTATTTTTTACTCAAGTGTATCTTTAACCTTGATTCAAATTTTTACTCAACACAATATTTAGATAAAATTTTTAATTTAAAAAATCACACTAACTAAAATTTTTTTAAAAAAATCAAGGACATAAATTTGAGTCTCCGTCAATTTAGTATAAGTTTGAATAAAAGATTTGAACTTATTTTTACTCAAATTTAAATTTGAGTCAATGCTTGAATCCGATCAAAGATTTGATTGTATCAATCATTTTCGAGCCTACACATAATTTAGTCCCACTAGGATCTAGATCATCTCAATTATTTTTTTAACACAATTTCCCTCAATGATAAATCATCCATCGTATATGAGTGAAGAGTCTACATTCAGACTCGATAATCAGTTAATTAATTAGTCCAACAAAAAAAAAACAATTAAAGAAGAGAATACAAGATTAAATTGAAATCTATAGGTATCAAAGCTAGAAAGCCCACAAAGTGCTACGAATCTTATTCTACATTAAATTGTCCCATATGTATACTCAAAATACTTGAAAAACATATCCATCGGATCAATTTTGGTGTCTTTTGTGATAACGAAGAGTGCTATTGGATGAATAGGTGGAGTGGCTGGCTACTACAAATTTAGTGGCCCAACATTTTGATGAATTTCTTCAGGAGCAGTTGGGCACTAAAGTGAAATGAATCCACTGCCAGTTAGGCACCAAAGTGATGCCAATGGCACCCACACTCACTAATCTATACTCACTAGCAGTTTGATACTAGCCGTTTGATATAAGGCTACCACCTCCACTCACAAAATACACACTGACTTGCACTCTTATCTGTCAATGGATTGAATTTTGATCCGAATCTGATTAGCCGAATATGAATTATTAATTTTTACCTATTATCCGAATCTGTTATGTTATATTTGATGGATTCGGATATGAATTTATCAAATTTGATCCGAATTGTATATATACCTTTTATTTTTATATTTTATATCCCGTGAGTTTATATACATCGATATCTTTTCATCTGCAACATTTTTTTCCTTTTTTCTTCTTCTTCACTATTTATAACTAAAATTGAGGTTAGCATATTTAATTTATGTTGCTTGTTAAGGCTTCAAATGAGTAAGCATTATAATTTTTTGATTCTAACGAGCTAAATTTGTTAAAATTTGTGAGATATTTGTAGGTTGATTTTATTTTGTACACAAACAAATCGGATCGAATTTTTGAACCGGATATCCACAAGTTAATGGATTCGGATATGGATTACAATTTTCAAATCTGTCGGATAATCGGGTCGGATCGAATCACGTAAATTATATTCGGATTCGGATATGATAGAATTTAGTCCATATCAAATCCGTTGACAGGCCTACTCTTATTTCCCCTCTTATATATCTCTCTCTTTTACCAATTTGTTATTATCATATATTATGTATTTTTTTAGATTCTTGATATTTTAGGCAACAAGATCAAGACTTGATAATTTATCTCTATCGTATGTGCCCGATGTGAAGAGTGGCTGCTAGCTTGGGATTGTATCTTAAAGATTTCATTGCCAATAATATGTGCACGTAGGGAGGCCACAAGAGCTTTAGGACAACGTTTTATACACCTCTCCAAATCGAAGGTGATCACTTTATTTGCTTTTATCTCAATTCTTTTTCAATTATATATTTATTTGTGAGCTATATAATTTTGTGGTAAATATTTTACTAGTATTGATATAATTTAAATCTATATTTGTTCAACAAAATTAAACGGTGGCCACCATTTTCTCGAATTATAATTTACGTCAAACTAATTTTTGTACTAAGAGACCCATAAATCTGAAACAAAATAAAGTATTTAGAAGCATACAAGTCCCAAAAAAAAGATGAATTTTTTTGAAGTTATAAAATCAGGACCAGGAAAAAAAATAGTGTAGAAATTAAAATTATTACAACACAAGATGAATGGTACTGATAGAGTGCAATTCGACACTCCAAGGCAAAAGTTCAAAAAAATAAAATAAAATAATTTCTACTTCTTTAAAATCACTTTTCTATAAAATATTTCATCACTGCCGCCACTGCCTCACCATGCTGCCTCCACCCCCGCCACACATTTTTTCTTTTAATGTTTTTCTGTTTGAGCATTCAAACGGTGTTTGTTTAATGAAAGCACTTTTTTATAAAATACTTTTAAAAAATAATTGTTTAAGAAGTGCTTTTTGAATTTTATAAGAAATCCTGAACAAAACCTAACTACTGTGTGCAGTCATTCAAAGCATCCAATATGTCATAACGAACATTCTCATCAGGTTCCTGAAAGCCAAATGCAGTTCAAACAGATCAATATAAGAGCAAAAACTCTACTATTTAAAGTTCTAAAAAAAATATTATTTGACATTATTAAGCCTAAAAAATCAGGTAAGATAGACACAACTGACCACATCTGAAGCTTCGTTTAAAGCACCTATGACCATATCAGATAACTCCTTGACGTATTGCGTAGCGTGATCATAGTCCTCTGGGTCGCTGCTTTCTACAACTTCTCTAGCTGAATTCAGTATCTTTGGCATGGCTATTGCACAAAGTAAAAAGACAGCATAAGAAAATTGACTAAGATCTACGCACACACGCGCGCGCGCTAACAGATAGTAACAATTCGAGTAAATTACAGTTTTACCCCTCTAAACTATTATCCTTATTTTATTTTGTACCCTTAACTATAAAATTTTTCACATTATATCAATTGGAGTGATATGAAATAAAATTGATACTTTAAGGTATAATATGAGAAATTTTATAGGTAAAGGTAAAAATGAAATAAGAGTAATAGTTCAAGAGGATAAAGTGTAATTTACCCTAATAATTCCAATCGGTCTATCGTACCTGAAGCAGCAGCCATTCTAATTGCTTTGGCATAATAACATTCCGGAAATGGAAGCACAGTTGGATCTTGACCCCATCTCAAAAATGGAATCAGTGTATGAACAACCTAGATGATTTACAAATGTTTAAAAAACCACTGCCATAACGAGTTTAACAAGGGATACTTAAAATTAGACGTATCAAAATTTACCCGATCAATCGCGGGAACAAGTAATTTCGTCAACTCATCAACACACAAGCACAGCACGCGACAAGCCATAGCCATAACCTTTTCCATTTTCTTTTCTCCATAATACCTACGTGTAATACCAACAACAGTGCAATAAAAATTAAAGTTGTTGAATTAAGAAAGTGAGTTTGGTTGGATAACAAGAAACATCACTATTCATGTGTTTGTGTGTGTATATTATATATATATATATATATATATATATATATTATATATATATATATATATATATATATATATATATATATATATAGAGAGAGAGAGAGAGAGAGAGAGAGAGAGAGAGATCACTTTAAAATATTAAAAATATCACTATTATGGGACTATATTTTGTTAGAACTATATTGCAACCAACCAAGGAACATCTTCGTAAACTTGAGCAGCTGCAGCATTAAACACAGGGGACATGAGAATTTCCAGGTAAGGGGAAAAATCCCGCTCTTCGTTTCTCCAAAGTTCTTCCCATGCCTACAATACAAAATGACATTGAAGAAATGAAAAGACAACATAAAAAGGCTTCACTTCTACTGTCTGCTGGGGCAGTTAATATACTATGCACATTAATTATGATTGAAGAAATCAAAGGCTAACCACCAACAAAATATGGTCTCTACTAGTACCTCTGAAAGAGTATCTTCCCACGAATGCCACGCTCTTGATCTCACCACGAACTCCTCGACTCCCTAAATTAAAAATGAACGACACATAAGCTCCATCATGCCAGCTAATTAAATAATTAAAGTGGTTCTATGTACGTTGCCAACAAGTAATTCATGTGCATGCAATTTACATATAAATTTGGATAAAGACGATACCACGGTATTTTCAATATCTCTTGTCACAATTCTATCAATCATCCCCACGTACCCCCACCTCCACTCCTATTGGATCCACCCATCCCAACACCGACTCAAAACCTGAATAGTTACTTATTATTTTGCTAATTAAAGAAAATGCAAAATTTAAATTTCAAATAGTTTTGTGGGAATAGTTATATAAGTCATATGAAATGATTTAATTTGATAAGATCAATGCATTATTATTAAATCATTCAACATTATAAAAATTTATTACTTGATGAGGAAAGGTAGACAACAATAGTGAGGAGTTTGAATGGGGTTGAAAAATTAATCACAACAGACTTTTGAGTAAGTTGAAAACTGATAAAGAGAGTGAGAGACTGATAAGTGCAAATTAAAATATATTTAAAAAAACAAAAAATATTAAAATTAGTATCTAAGTTTTAAAACTCATACAAGTACAATTAAATACAAAAAAATAGGAAAAAATATGCCAATTTTAGATTGAGATAATGAGTGTAAGATTTAGCCATACATACAGGGTCCAAAAAACACTTATATTTGTTGTTTTTCGTAACATAAATGCATATGATTTATTTGACAATGGGCTGGTTGGGATATTGTACTTGCAATATTAAATGATGATATACCTTTGATACTATAAGACAAGTCCTTATACTCCCATCCAAGTGTTCCCTTAGATTGTCCCGAGTGCAGCAATATTCACTGAAAACTAGAATTGCTGAAGCAGCACTGCCCTGCATGCGCATACATATAACAAAGAATCGACGTGAATTTTTTGTTGTTATAAAGAACGAACATAGTTGATGAAGTTAATAAAACAAGGGCAAGGACGAAAACTACCAATAATGTTCACAATAATAACGATAATGACGACGAACACTAACAATGTCTATTATCTCCTGAGCCATTCATTGCATCTAATCACATGAAATGAAAAACGAAAAAAGAAGGCGTACCGAGCAAAATATAGACAAAAACAACATCAATGAAGTCATGCCTTCATAAATGGTTCAAGGTCCAAATAGCAGTAATTTAATTATATCTTACAAACATAGCCTTATAGGCAATGGCCATTATCACCAGGATTGCACACCAGCCAAACATTTCTTGAAGTTAAATCTCCCCTAATACAACACCCGAATAAAGATGAACAAGAACTAGCACACATCAAGCAAGTGGCAACAATTGCAAAGGTAGCTTCCCACATCATACAAAAATACAGTGAATAAAACTTACCTGGATGACACTGGACAATTCAAAAACTTAACTTCAATTGTAGCTTATCAATATTCTGTTGGACTAAAACAGATTTTAGTCATTAAAATTTGATTTTTGGTCGACTTTAAACTAAAATTAAAGTGGGACTCGCTCCTTGTTTCAAGTAAATTTTTCTGCCTTCGTGTTCTACTCCCTAAAGACAATAACGTGGTATATTTTCAACCAATGGGCCTTTGGTCAAATGGTACTCCTTGCCTTGTGAAAACTTTGTCTTTTTGAGGTCAAGGGTTCAAGTCCCCCTTCCCCCTCCCCTCCCCTCCCCTCCCCTCCCATCCCAAAATAATTAAAAAAAAAGTGGTATATTTTCTTGCTTAAATCGAGTAAGAAATGAATGAAAAAATAGCCTCCAAAGTGACTCTCTTGATTTATGGAAAAGGTGGGGTTATTCCCACCCCATTTAATTTATCATTATCAAACTACAAAGTCCACCCCTTCTATATCCACCACATTAGTAACTAAGTTCACCCTGTGCTACATACGCCCCATTAATAGTTAAGTTCACTTATTCTATGTATAACCCTTTAAATAAAGAGGTCATTGTAAGAAAAAAAATAAAAGAACGAAACAAGGAAAAAATAGAAAAAGAAGTCAACCGAAATAAGAAGGAAAAAAAAACTAAGTAAAGATTAAAGGAACAAACAAAACTATAAGATGCAAAACTGAGTATAAATAAAAAAAATAAGCATCAAGCATAGATACAAAATCAAATAAGAAAAAATAAATAAATATTGATGCAAAACTTTAACAAGATACAAAAAAAACAAATAATCTGAAAGTAAACATATACATACACGCATATAAATTTTAAATAAAAAGCTAATTAAATTTGACAGAAATATCAAAACATACCGAAAATAATAAAAATCTATATAACAAACATGAAATCAAACATAGAATTAATTTGAGAAATAATATTAACTTGTATCTTATTGAAAAAATTCATATTGAAAAGTAATTTTTGTGTGTGCATGCAATGAGATAGAGAATAAAGTTCTAATTATGACAAAATATAAAATATGTTTATTTACTAAAAGGAGTGTGTGTAGTATGAGGTGAACTTAGTTACTAATAATGTGGATATAGAAGGAGTGAACTTAATAGTTTGATAATGAGAAATTAAATGGGGTGGGAATAGCCACCAGATCATAATTTTTTTTTCATGTGCTAGACATAATATCTAGCCTATATATAAATATCATCATATGTAAAAAAATAAATACTTGAGTTACATTCTTCCTAACAACTTAAACTTCTAGAATAGACAATGATTCAAATCAATAAAAATAAATATCATCATCGAGTGATCTCTTCTTTCATAAAAATGGTAGACTATAATTTGCATACGAAGGGCAATTGAATTGTACTTGTCCGTGAGATAGACAACTAGTACTTTTATGAACAAAATTTTATTCCTTCATATTTAGGAAAAATAGCTCAGGAAGTGTTGGACAAAAATTGATTTTTTTTTTTTTTGGTAGACTTTGAGTCTATATTAAAGTGGGACTCTCTTATGAGTTTGAATAAATTTTTTTGAGTTCGTGTTCTATGTATTCCGCGAGAAGAATTACGTAATATATTTATTTGTTCAAATTGAGTAAGAGCTCAATGAGAAAATAGACTATAACGTGATACTCTTAGAATGTGGAAATAAAGGTTGGGGCAAAGTGGGATTTGACACTAATTTCACATTGGTTGGGCAAAAATACTTAAGTTGCACTTTGGGTTTCACCTTCCATTATGCAATTGAATCAGTTTTTATGTATTACTGTTTTACTCTTAATTGTATGATTTATATAAAAAATATCAATAAGTATTTTGCGTACATGACACATCCTCCTAACAGAAAGAAGGAAAAAGCTTGTCATCTATGTTAAAAGAAAACAACTAAAATGTGGATTTCCTCATAAATGTTTAGAGTCCATTAATTCGTTGAAAAGGTTAGCAAGATTGAGAGTCATGTCCCAAACAAGTTCAAAATGCAGAGTAAAAGTACATAAATAAGTCCACTAACCCGCATTTCTTGAATTGGGGAGTCATTCATCACTTCAGCTAATGCAGGCAACACGAGGTGACATCTGACTTGTAAGTGGTTGCCCAAATCTGTAGCCAACTTCTTAATTGCACGAATAGATGCATTCTGCACGACAGTGTCGTCATCTTTAAATAAGCTCAAAAGCATCGACATTACTTGTTCGAAATTTATTCTCATCACCTGTGTCCAAAAATGAAAAATTCAAAAAAATTTATCCGAAAAATCTCCGATCCATAATGATGTTTGACAATCAATGGATCATATTAAATTGTCAGCATTGGACCTAAAACTAGAGAGCACTCCTTGACTCCTTGTCATGCACAGATTTTTTATTTCTTCTTTCCATCGTCTTACCTCCAAATCCTCTTCAACTCTAGGGAAGTGTGAGTAGACCTAAGGGGGCCATGCCCCCCCCCCCCCCTTTGCCCCCCTCTTTCAAATTTTAAAAATTACCATTCTTCCCCCTATATTTTCAAAAAAAATTATTGGTAACCTCTAATTTTCCAAAACACCCAATATTTAAGTTTGTCACTTAATGTATTCAAAAAGATCAATGAATTTAGTAACCATTTAGAATGTAATTAAATGGATGAGTGTCGTTTGTACTAACGAAAACGCTTGTTAGATTATTTTGATGATCCGGAGAAAAAATAAGTGATTTTTTTGCAACCATAATTTATTTATAGACATAAAGTTAGATTATAAACAAGAAAAAAGAGGATGATAATGTTGTCACAAATAAAATTTTATGATGGTATGATCCAATTTTTGAGTTTTGTGCTCAAAATTAATTTTTTCAATGACATTACATAAAAATTAAATTTAATAGGTTTTTCATAAATAAAAATTTATCATTAACAGTGACGATTGAATAACCTCATTGAATTAAATTTTTGTCTATGTCATTGTTGGCC